ACCAGCCTGGCCAACATGGTGAAACCTCGTCTCTACTAAGAATACAAAAATTAGTCGGGCGTGGTAATTTTTGCCTGTAATCTCAACTACTTAGGAGGCTAAGGTAGGAGAATCACTTGAACCTGAGAGACAGAGGTTGCAGTGAGCTGAGATGGTGCCACTGCACTCCATCCTGGGCGACAGAGCAAGACTGGCTTGAAGAAAAAAAGAAAGGTAGAGGGGTCCAAAGTGGCTCCCGCCGGAGCTCATGGCGCTCGCGAAGGCGAGGTCATCAGTTCAAGGCTAACCTGAGCAACCTCATAAGCTCAAACTGATTGGCAAAAAAAAAAAAAAAAAAAAGAAAGGTAGAAAGAAGGAAGGAAGGAAAGAAAGAAAGAGATGTTGATGCTAGCAAACATGTAGTGTTTTCTGTGTCAAGTTTTGGTGTGTATTAATTCTTTTAATCTTCACAATAATCTTATTAGTTAGATACTATTATCCCATTTTACAAATGAGGACACTGATACACAAAAATTTGAAAACTTATCCAAGGTTTCTTAGCCAGTAAGTGATGGAGTCAAAGTTTGGGATTCAAATCTAGACGTTTTGGTTTCAGAGTACTTGCTCAATCCTGCCTTTCTAAAATAAGACAGACAAATGGTGTCAGACAAATGCCGCATTCTAGATTTAATCAAAGCACAGAGAAGACGGATGTTGATACTGCCTGAAGGGTTTAGGGAAGGTTTCCAGAGCACCCTGCTCTTCAGGCCCTCCATCCCTTTCTGGGACTCTTTGGAGCTTTTTCTCCCACACAGTGGCAGGCCATCTCCCTGACGGTCATCGAGAAGGTCCAGATTGCTGCCATAGTCCTGGGCTCACTCTTCCTGGTCGCCAGCATCTCCTGGCTCATCTGGTCCTCACTCAGTCCTTCAGCCAAGTGGCAACGACAGGATCTGCTCTTTCAGATCTGCTATGGCATGTACGGCTTCATGGATGTCGTCTGCATAGGTGAGGGCACCTCTCTCTCCTTTACCTGCTCCCTACCCTCCTCTTACACACCTGATTCCCCTGCCCATCCCCTGTTTCATGGCCTTATTTTCTGCCATTGAGGGCCTTTAGTGCTATCCTGGTGCCCTGCAGCCCCGACTTCCCTGCTTCTCCAGGGCCCTTTGCAAATTTCCTCACTCTGAAGAAATGCTTGCTTAAGTACCTCTGGCCAGAGTCTAGGCCACAACTGACCCTGGATTTCTTATTCCTATTGCTCAGGCCTCATTGTCCACGAAGGCTCCTCTGTCTACCGCATCTTCAAACGCTGGCAGGCAGTGAATCAGCAGTGGAAGGTTTTGAACTATGACAAGACCAAGGACATAGGAGGAGATGCAGGGGGAGGGACGGCAGGGAAGCCAGGCCCCAGGACCTCACGGACGGGCCCCCCCTCTGGGGCCACCAGCCGCCCCCCAGCTGCTCAGCGCATGCGGACGCTCTTGCCTCAGCGCTGCGGTTATACAATCTTGCACCTCCTGGGACAGCTGCGGCCACCAGATGCCCGTTCCAGCTCCCATTCTGGCCGAGAGGTTGTCATGAGGGTCACTACAGTCTAAACTGGACTCCAGGAGCAGGGATCTTGAGTCAATGCATCAGGCAAAGAAGAGCTCTCATTGGCTGCTGGAGGTACCAGCTGGACAAGGTGTTTGGGGCATGCTGCCCCTATCACTGAGTATCTCTGTGAGCAGCCTCAAGGTGGAGACATTGTCTGGGCTCTACTGCCCACTGGGTAGAGACACCTGGATGACATTTCAGTCACCACTGACAGCTCCTCACACTCATCCAGAGACGGCCAGTGGGCAGGTGGGGAGAGCAGCTTTCCTTCCCTGGAGAGAACCATCTTTACCTCAGCTCCTAGGGCCTCCAGCCCCCCAGCTCCACCATGGTGACTTGGTGAAGGGGGACCAATGCCAGAAGAAAGGGGCTGTAGACCCCTATTCCCCACCCCATGGCCACAGGGCATCTGGCAATAAGACTAGTATACATTGGCCTCCCGTTCCCTGCATGAGGGCGGGGACTTCCCCCTGCTCCATCCCCCATTGCATGGGGGAAGGGCATAAAGAATCATTTATATGCACGTGGAGACTCCTTTCTCATCTGGGGCTTTTCTGGAGGGCTGGGAGGTGTGGGAGGTTTCTCTGCACAGGTTGCAAATCCCAAATGCAGTAGCGGGTTCTGAGTTGGAGGTGTGACTCCCACTTGCTGGTGAATAATTCACATTGGCTGCTTGGTGGCAGCACTCAGAGGTATCTAAGACCTGGACTTGCTACCTATGAGTTGTGTGATTTAGAAAAAAACTCTCAGCTATGGTTTTCCTGTCTACCTCATAGGGTTGGAATAAGGATAAATGAGGGACAGGTTGGATGCCATTGCAAAGAAAATCGGCAATGACATAAAGAGATTTCTAGACTAGTTGATGGTTCATTTATTGCAAATAGTAGCTGGTATCACAAATTCTAAAATGTGTTTTTCATCTGGAGTTGCACAGAATCTTGGAATTTTGTGTTCAGTGACAATAGTTACGGAAATATGAGGGGAAATAGACATTGCAAATGTGAAGCATGGTGGTTTTTTGTAAGAATGAGAACTACTATGACTCTAAATATTGGGGTCTGCGGGCTGGGGAAGCCTGGAGCCATCCGCCTTGTTCTGGAGATCACCTGGGTTCTATTAGTCCTTCCCAAGTACTGTGCTCACCCAGAAAAGCAGTGTGAAGTGGATTTGGACTCATTTGGAGTGAGATGGAGGGAATCCCCCTCAATGTTATGAGTCTCCAACCCCAGTTTAAGCTATTCCTATAGTAGTTTAGGGTCACAGGTTTGATCACAGTGTGCCCAGCTAGTGGTATTAATGGATGGCATTCCGTTTGGAGGCAGCAGCATAGAGGACTGTTGTTTATAGAGAAAAGATTTGGGAAGGACTGGTTAAAATGTGGGTCAGCCTGAAGCCTGAGCACTTGCTTCTGTGACCTTGGGGTTGTGTATTATATGAATGATGCTGTTTTTTTAAGTGACCTATTCAGCAATTAAATAATTCCTTCATTCATGGCTAAAGTCAGATCTGGAGGCCTTTCTTATTATTGGTCTTCCTCTCAGGGAAGGTTCTGCTCTGCCTCCTCCTTGGGGATGTTTTGGAGAAAATGCTTCTCTTGCAAAGGCCCACACACATCCTTGCCCTGGAGACCTCCATACCCTCCCCTCTCCCAGAGGGATCTTGGCTGCTGTCCATGGTGCTGGTATCCAGACCCGCCTGGGGTGTAGGAACCAAAGCTGGACTGGGGTTGAAATAATTTCAAAGTGTGGAAGTATATCACTTCCAATTTCTGAGCGAGTAGAGTGGATAGGGAACTGAGGCTGAGCCCTCCATCTGCTCAGTAGGAAACTGTTTCTCCCGAGAAAGAACCCGCTATACTCCCCATCTGGGGAGATGGAAAGGCCAGACTTTACTGATTTGCCATTCACAGAAGAGCTGGTGGGGACCAAATGGGAGATTGCAAATCAGAGTGACTACTAATACCTATACTGGCAGGTAGGGCTCAGGTAGATAGGACACATATGGAGCTTCCTGTGCCAAACCTGAGCTGTCCTCTGTGATGGTTGCGCATGGAAGGTTAGACACACCAAAGAAAACAGGCATATTCACACATACTCTTGTATCTATTTGCACTCTGGGTCCTAAAACAAGGCCAGGTGAAACTTTCCCTTTTCCTCCTTCAGCACCAATGGAAGTCTTGGTATGGGAGTTGGGGCTAGCAATCAGTATGGTCTCCTTTTCTTCCCTTTTTGCAACTTAAAAAGATCCTTGTCTGGGAAAAGGATCATGGGAACTGCTGCCCTCCTCAAGTGGGCATTCTTACTTGCCCGATGGAAAATAGGGAGTACCAGTGAGCAGAATTCTCATCACTGATTACAGGGGAAAGAGTCTGACAGCCAGCTGGGCTTTATTCTTCCTCAAAGCCCAAATCCAAATCTGCTAAAAATTTGGTCATTTAGGCTCAAATTGAGTTGAGTGATAGAGGAATAGGGTGGAGACTGAGTATACAGTAGGGAAGGAGTAGAGAAGGGCAGAAAATGCACAAAAACCTTGATCTTTGTACGAGGCCTTGGGTCTCTGCCCTGCCTCTCTGTAGATCTTATGTAATTAGATGCCTCCACAGAAGGCCTGGTGGCTAATGGAGTTTATGTGGTCAGGGAGCCATGTCTAGGCCAGGAGGCTGAGGTGTGGAGGAGGAAGAAGTGTGAAGTGAAACCTCCTTCTACACCCAGCTAATTGGAATATGGTGGGGAGTAGGGGAAGGGGGGCAAGTCTTGACATGAGGAGGGTAATCTGGGATGCAGAAGAAACTGCAACGTGCTGAGAGATTTATTTGGATGGAAGATGAGTTAATCTGTATACATCACAAGAGGAGAGCTGTGCCCAGCCTCTGGGGGGCCAGAGAATGCTGACTCAGGGAAACAGGCTCCCTCTGCCCACCACCCTTATCCTGCCTTTGGTGCCCCAGGGCTTCTGGCCACCCCCACACTTGGCTTTCATTCTGTCTGATTCTACTTCACTGCTTGTATCCCTTCTACTGAAGGAAATTATCTTGGAACAACTTTTCCAGAGAGGGCAGAGTGACCAATCTAGGACTTCCTTCAATCCTGGCAGTCCAGGTTCCAAAAGCACTTTCCTTGCTAGAGTCGGCATCCTCTTCCCATCTCTGCAAATTCCTAGCTCCCAGCCCATTGGTCCATTTTACAACTTAGCCCCTGCATTACTTTTCACCCCCACCCACTTAATCTCTTACAGGAAGCCAGACTAGACTTGGCTGCTCCCACTGCAGACAGAAACATGCCTGGGTTTGTGTTACAAACCACTCTACCAGGCATCCAGATGCCCATTTTTAAGAGGGTCACCCCCAGGACCTGAGAAACCGAGTGTTAGGGTCTTGCCCCCAGGTCTTGTAGGAAGTGAGAGTGAGAGAAATAAGTGAAAGGCAAGAATGAATATTTGATGTTTTTATTTTAAAATATATGAATATTTAAAATTTTTCAATATAAAAAAGCCAGAGGTCTGGGCAGGGACAGGACCAAAGACGTCTCTGCCTGAGAACCAAGTGTTGGGGCAGACCCACTTAATAGTGGCCAGAGAGCAAAGGAGAGTTGTAAGAAATTGTAAACCAGGCTAGGACAGTTTCACCTTCTAGGGGCAGGACAAATAAGGAAGGGGGTAGACAGAGCCTGCTAAGCTGCTTATCCCTTCTGCCACATGGTCCAGATTCAATCCAAGAATGTGTATGGTATCACCTCATCAGAGACAGGCCCTGGGAGGGGACATAAAAAACAAATAAGGCTTCACCCTTCCTCTCAAAAAGCTCACATGCAATGAGGAAGAACCACTGGGTACCGACCAGATGCAGAGTTACTGAGCTTATGCTGTGATAAATGCTTAGCCAGCAGCATCAATGAACACTGTGGAAGCCCCAAAAGAGCGGCAGTTGAATCTTTCTCAGGCCATCCAGCATTATTAGCTAAAATCTGATTTCATCCTTGGAGGATGCATACGTGATCAGAAGGGCTGAGCAAGGAGGGAGACCATGGTATTCTTCGGGCCTACTGAGTCAGGCCAAGTGCATACTTCACACTTGGTGGGGACCAGGACCGCCTCCAGTACTTTGCTATGGTCATTCTACCCAGTTTGGCCAGATAGGCCTTAGCGGAAGATGTATCTCTTGGTCTTGTGCCCACAAAAGATCTTGTCCCTATGATGAGGGAAAGGATGATGATGACAGCCTCTTTCTACAGGACTGTCTGTCCAAAAACTGTAGGTTGATGCTCCTCTCAGGCACCAGCACAGTCCGGGTCATGGGTCTGATTGGGGCCGCACCTGGCTCAGGCTGCACCTCAAAATGTGTCAGGATCTGAAAAGGGAAGAAGTTGAGCATTACTATGGAAGATATCTGTAATGGGGGAATTGATTGGTAAAGGGCATGTATTATTAGTGTTAGAATGGTCAGTGATGGAGTGGCACCTGTGGCCAGTAGAGGACTTCTTGGTTAATAAGGGTGGGGGATTATGGTAGGAAAAAAATACTTTGAATACTCGCACTTACACTCCAGGCCTACAGTAGGCTTATCATATTTCAGAAGATTCATTCTACCAGGTCTTACATGTTTTCCCCTGCTTGTTAGGGGAAAGAGCTCACAGCTTTAGAGGGTTAGAGTCTGGGTCCAGAGTCTGGGGAAGGTATAAAACCTGGAGCACTCACCTGGGCCAAAGCCATTTGCAATTCAAGCTCTGCCAGGCGTCTCCCCATGCAGCTGCGCTTGCCAAAACCAAAGGGAAGAGATGCAAATGGGTGGGGGGTGGGACCCTCCCCCAGCCATCGAGCTGGACGAAAAGAATTTGGCTCTGGGAACTGGGCAGGGTCCCTTGAAGTGGCATAGTGACACAGAGTGACCAGCGTCTGATGGGAAGGAAAACAAAGTTGTCAGTTTGGGCCCAGAATGGGGACAGGCATGAAGAAGAGGATATTCAGACAGGGACAAAGGCAGGTCCTGGTGGGTGATGGTGAAGTTCTTTGGGGCTACTTTTGGAAGGATCTTCCCACTGTCCCATTACATCCTAGAAAGGCATATCGTAGAGAGAGGTCAAGGGAAGTATTTGAAGGGCTTTTGGGAGAGTGTTTGAGAACAGGGGTGAGGCCCAAGATAGTGAGGAATGCCTCAGTAGAAAGGGTGCATAGGCTCTACTCACATTTTTGGGAATAATATAGTCACCCACACGAATGTCTTTATCTGGGACACGAGAATTTCCAGGTACCACAGGGTACAGTCTAGGTTACAAAGCACAAAATGGAGACGGCAAGGTGAGGCTAGGGGCCGCAGCTTCCTTCTCGTTGTTTCCAGCTTCCAAACCCTTTTTGGCTACGAGTAGAGTGCCATTTTTGTCTTCTCACTCTCCCTGCTTCCATACGCTATTTGCTTCCCCAGCCCTTCCCCGGCATTTCCTCTTGTTCCTCCTCTCCTTCCCGCTCACCTTAGCACTTCCTTGACCACCGCCTTCAGCAGGGGCAGCTGGGACAGAACAGTGGCTGAGGGGTGGGTACTGGAGCCAGGGCCCAGGGCAGCTGTGATCTCGGAGTGGAGTGCTGTCTGGACTTCGGGGTGCCGGGAGAGCTCATACAGAGCCCAGGAGAGTGTGTTGGACACCTGAAGGACAGGTGAAAGCAAGAGAGGTGTTGGGTGTGGGAACCCAGCAGAGGGCGCAGATTATGGGACAGTCTGGGACTACGGGGTGCTAAGCCAAGCTGGTCTACCTGGCCATAATGGAGCCACTGCAACAGAAAAGTGGCCGCAGAGTCTGGGGAGGCTAAGCCCTGGAAGTGGGGCTCACAGCACGGAGGGAGAACCTCACCGTGTCCACTCCCGCCAGTAGCAACTCTGTTACATTTCCCAGGATGGACTGAGCAGGCAACTCTTCCCGGAACAGGAAGTGGGTCAGGTGCGCCCCAGTTTCCAGGTCCTCCTCGGGCTGTCCTCGGTTCCTCATGGCTGCCTCAGCCTCTCGCAGCTCCACGTGCCTCTGAGCTGCGTGGGTAGAGGGCACGTGATGCCTCGCTACCCCTGGACAGCTTTACACTTCCCCGTTCTGTGCCTTACCGAATGCAAACATCTGGTCCCAGTCTCGGCAGAGGCGGCCCCAGGGCCCGGGCACAAGGTGGCGCAGCCACTGGGGCATCGCCATGATCAACAGCGTGGACACAAACACCGAGCCCACCGCGCGGATGAAGGTCTCCGTGTCGGGCGGCACTTGCGCCTCTAGGCAGCCCAAGCGCGAGCCGAGCAGTACCGCGGCGATGCCTGCTCGGGAGGGGGCGCCGTCAGGGCTCCGGGAGGCTCCGACAGGGCGCCCCGATGCCCGCTCAGCTTTGGGGACTCACCTTCCAGTCCGAACTTGTAAAATTCCCCCGCCACGTCTCGAACCAGGGCGGGCGGCCCCGTGCCACGTCCCCGCTGGCCCCTCAGACGCCTCACAAGGTCGCGGACCACATAATCCAGGGTTCCGGCGTAGCGGGCTGCCGCTTGAGGCCGGAGGAGGAGCGGGGCCAGGAGACTGCGGAGCCTTTGCCATTCTTCGCCTTCCCTGCAGGGTTGAGGAGAGAGTGCGCCTCAGGGAGGTGGGAGGGCTCGACGGGGCTGGCTGCAGTGAAGGAGCGCGTTTTGCTGTGAAGGCCGGGAAAAGGATTGCGTCTGCCCCCTTGGGGTACAGAAACCCTGCGCCTGCCTGCGCCTGTCTTCCAGCCCCCTTCCTCTTTACTCACTTCCTGCCCGCAAGGGCCGGGGTTCCCGGGTAACTTGAGTCACGGAACCTTACATTCATTCCGTCCAGATCCTGGTACCCTAGCCCAATCCCGGCGGTTTCCTCAGTTCCCAGGATTCTGGCCGCAAAGGATAAGGAGGTAGGCGGGGAGTGAGGTTGGGGCTCTGCCTGAGTGTGGGTGAAGCTGACTGGGATGGGAACCCCAAGATGCCCAAAGGTAGAATGAGACAGCCGATCTCCCACCATGCCCCCAGATAGATAGTTTCGGGACCGCAGCTGGAGATGGTCGCTGCGGGGCGTCTGGGCTTCCAGGGGCAGAGAAGACTTACGCGGTGAGCAGCCCACAAGCCCGCTGGCGGCGACGGCGGTGCTCGGTCCAGGGCGAGAAGCTGCAGCGCTCGGGCTGGGGTCCCTCCTGTCGCAACAGCTCCTCGACGAGGGCAGGGGCAGCCACGTACACGGTGCGCACTGTCCCAAAGCTGGCCAGCCACACTGGCCCGAAGCGTGCGGCGCCCTGCACCTGGGGGAGAAGGCGCAGCGGACACTTGGACACCTGGGCAAGGGACTTTCAGGTTGACGTGTGCCCACACCAAGGGTGTTGACTGGGCTTGGGAAAAGGGAGCTTCTGCTCCTTCTCGGCTTCCTGGCTAGTGTAAGCCATGGATACTGCGAATTCCTCCTTTCTCTCATTTCCCACCCCTAGAAAGTTTGAGTGTGATGGGCAAAACAGGAACTTTGCACAAGGCGGACATTCAGGACCTCTCTGATCATCTTGGTTGAGGAGAAATCTCTAAAGTTTCCATGTCTGGACTGTCCATCTCAGGACGAGTCCTCAGTGAATGAAAAGGAGCCCGTGTAGCTTTAAGCCGCACGCAGGCGGAGGGTACCGCGCCTTCCGCGCACTTGTACTGGATCTGCAGGGTCTCCACACCTCAGGAGAGCGAGAAGGTGCCTTCCAAGCGCCCTCTGCTAAGAGTCGGGACGGACTCTGCGCGGGCCGAGCCACACGCACGACCCCCGCCTCAACTCGCCTTTTCCTTAATTCATGGGCATCCATTCTCTGGCTCTCTCAGATTTGTTCTGCACTAGTCAGTCCTTTCTGACGCTTTCAAAGCCAATTTCCCCAGCACTCAGTCTCGGGAAAGTCCTCCCTTCCTACCTGCAGCTCGTGTAGCCTCGACAGTCCCCCCTTGCAGAAAAGTTCGGCCAGAAAGCTGGGCGTAGAGGGACCTGGGATGTCTGCCAAACTCCGGCGCGCAGAGTCGTACTCTCGGTAGCCTAAGGAGGCGCCCAACTCGGGCACCCAGCGTCCGCGATGGAACACTCTGGAGGCGAACTTGAGGGTCTGGGTCATGGTCTGGCTCGGGGAGCCCGCGAAAGAAAGCGTTTCTCCTGAGCATCTTGTCTGAACCCCTATTTAACCTTTGGGTCTGGTGACGACACCCCGTCTCCAAGCTTTCAGCCAATCCCTCTTCCTGAGTGGTCTGTATTGGGGATTAGCACCCAGGAACAGTAGGCGGGGCTGGGGCTGACTTCACAACTCCCTTTGGTCTCCTGTTGCAATGACCCTCATGAGAGGGAGGGCCTGAGATTTTCCTCCTGGGAGAGTGCCCTAGTCTAGGAGCCTAAAGGTCTCATCCTAAGAAAGGCTATCAGGCTTTTTAGTATGGACTAGGAGACCAAGCTACACCAGTCTAATACTCCCACCACTTCAACTAGGGAGCCCAGCCCCTTTAGATCCATCTCAGGAATTCCCCATCTTTCAGCTCCTCCGGGAAGGGAAGCAGGGGAAGAGGCATAGCTGTACATGTCCCCACATTCTTGGCTCACTGGGCTGTATCTTCTTTGCATCATTTTCCTGCACTAGCCACATCTCCCTCTCCTCCTTACCTAACATATACTGGGCAGATGGCAGGTGGGTTAATTAATAGGCTAAAATGGCTCCTAGAAACTCTATCTTTCTTTCTTGAGGATAAGAGGTCTCTTGGGTTTACAAGCCCCCTTCTTCCAGCCATGGGAATTCCGGGCTTGAGAAGCAGAAATGAAGAAATTTTTGTACATTAGTAAAGTTCAAAGATTGTCTCTGGGCTGTTAGAGGAGCTGAGTGGATATGGATGTTCTGATTCCCCAGCTGACTCTGTCTCCTCTGGGGGGCTTTCTGGTTAGCAGCTCCTTTCCACTTTTAGCCTCAGAATCCTCCACATGGCCAGGTGTGGTGGCTCATGCCTTTAATCCCAGCACTTTGGGAGGCTGAGGTGGGAAGATGGCATGAGGCCAGAAGGTTGAGACCGGCTTAAACAACATAGCAAAACGTTGTCTCTATAAAAAAAAGTTTAAAAATTAGGCTGGGCATGGCAGCTCATGCCTGTAATCCCAGAACTTTGGGAGGCTGAGGTGGGATGATGGCATGAGGCCAGAAGGTTGAGATCAGCTTAAACAACATAGCAAAACCTTGTCTCTTTAAAAAAAAAAAAGTTTAAAAATTAGGCTGGGCATGGCAGCTCATGCCTGTATCCCAGCACTTTGGGAGGCTGAGGTGGGCAGACTGCTTGAGCTCAGGAGTTTGAGACCAGCCTGAGTAACATAGTGAAACTCTGCCTCTACAAAGAATACAAAAATTAGCCAGGCACGGTGGTGCATGCCTGTAGTCCCAGCTACTTGGGAGGCCAAGGTGGACTGCATGAGCCCAGGAGGTCAAGGTTGCAGTGAGTTATGATTGTTCCACTGCATTCCAGCCTAGGCAACAGAGAGAGAGAGCCTGTCTCTAAAAGAAAAAATTAAAATAAAAGAATCTTCTATAGTTTACCTCTCTGCTCCTTACTCCCTCATTCTCTACTCCACCCATATCTGGCTCTGTGCCAGTCAGCTCTGAAGTTCTGGAATTGAAGGTCAATGTGAAAAAGGAGAGGGTCTCCACCCCTATACCTTCCCAAGGACTCTCCAGAGACAACAGTAAAGGGAACACAGATTCCCCAGGTCAAGTCTTACAGAAGAAGACAGGAGGATGGGAGAAGGCATATGATACATACTCCAGCCTTTCCTGAGAAATGGCAGAATGGGCACGTGTATATACATACATATTATCCCAGGATCGCAAAGTAAACACAAGTGGTAATTGAGCCCAGCAAGCAGTTTAGATGGACTACATTCCTCATTCCAGCTAAGGAGAGATCAAATAAGAAGGGAGTGCTAAGGGAGAGCAAGACCCCACAGCCTTCCAAAGATCCCCTATGGTCCAAAGTCCTCTGACCATCTCAGTCAGCTGCTTTGTTTTATGTTGGCAGTGGAGGGACAAGGTGAGAGGAGCCAGGGGTAGTCATGAACACCAGTGGGTTCTGCCCTGGGAAGCTCCCCACCTTCTTTGAGGGAGTACTGTGTCTCAGCTCCAGCAGTCTCAACTGGGAAGACCCAGGGCTCTTGCTGTTTTCTCTAGTCCCTGGAAGACAAGGTCCAGCTAAGGTAGAGTATGTAGTCAGTGACCAGGCAGGCTGGATTGGGGGTTTACTGCCTGGAGGATGGGATCTTGTATTCTTCGGAAGATGGCTGGGAAATTCTTCCCTCCATTACGTAGAACTTTCTTCCCCTCCTCAGTTGAGGTGCCTAGATGTCCTACAATGGGGTCTTCACTCTGGGAGAAGGAAGGGTCCAGTAAATCCATGCCCACTGTTCAGACAGCCCCTGGCCCTTAGACTCCCATCCCATCCTTCTGACACTGAGCTAAGTTCAAATACAAAACTTCTACAGCCTGCATCTTGGCAATTTCCCTTAGACCCCCTACTCACCAGGTCCTCCAGGGGCACACGCTCAAACAGTGGGTGCTCTTCAAAATGAGTGCACATCCAGTCATGTAGCTCCAGCACATCGGTTATGGTATACACCAGCCCCTGCATAGGCAAAATCACCCTACACAAGGGGCTGCATGCAACATCAGCAGCCAAATGATGGGAGTGGTAGTGTGAGTCCCTAAATGCACAACCACTGAATTCTTAGTGAATGGTCCCTGAGGAGGCCGTTCACCCCATTCTTCCCCCTTATCCCGACTCACCCCAACTCTCAGCACATAGGCATATTCTGCTAGCAGTGTGGGACTGATGATTCGCCACTTGTGCTTTGTCCGCTTGAAATGTGGGTCGGGGAAGAGGAAGAACATCTTTGTCAGCTGTGAGACAGACACACATCAACAGGGTTGTGATAGCCTGGCCTGCATGCCCCGACCTGCCTACCCACCTAACCCACCAGGGCCCCTCCCCACCTGGCCCTTGTAGAAGAAGTTAGGAAGGTGCTTCATGGCATTGCTACGGAGACAGGCGATGTTCTGGAAGCCACCTCCGGGAGCTGCGCGTAGGGCCCGAATCCGGTCTTGTACATAGTCTGAGACCTTCACGCGGATCTCCAGACCCAGAATCAGTGTGTCTGGGAACAGCGGTGACAGTTCCACTGGACATAGAAATAGCAATGGAATCATCAACCATATACTTGAAGGAAGTGCAAAGGGGTCAACCCTGGAAAGGAAGCCTCAATATGCAACTACCAAAGTTGAGAATGGCAAGAGAGAACAGAGATATACATATACGGACAGTTTTATGCTGAAGAGGCTGGGGGAGAAATCAAAACTGTCACCATGACTAGAATGGGAGGTGTGAGAATATGCATATATTTGCTGTTTCTTTAGAGTTTCCACTGCATTTTCACACATTGTGTTATTTCATCCTTAGAACACTGTGGTAAACTGTGAAGATGATGAAACTGAGGGTCAGAAATGCCCAAGATCATGGAGTTAAGAAGGGGTAGAACTGAAACTTTTTTTTTTTGAGACAGAGTTTCGCTCTTGTTACCCAGACTGGAGTGCAATGGCACAATCTCAGCTCACCACAACCTCTGCCTGCTGGGTTCAAGCAATTCTCCTGCCTCAGCCTCCCAAGTAGCTGGGACTACAGGCACACACCACTATGCCCAGCTAATTTTTGTATTTTTAGTAGAGACGGGGTTTTACCTCGTTGACCAGGATGATCTTGATCTCTTGACCTTGTGATCCACCCGCCTCGGCCTCCCAAAGTGCTAGGCGTGAGCCACGGCACCCGGTAAAGAACTGGAACTTATTTATTTGAGGTGGAGTCTTGCTCTGTCACCCAGGCTGGAGTGCAGTGGTGCAATCTCAGCTCCCTGCAACCCCTTCCTCCCAGATTCAAGCGATTCTTGTGCCTCAGCCTCCTAAGTAGCTGGTCTCGAACTCCTGGCCTCAAGTGATTCACCTGCCTCAGCCTTCCAAAGTGCTGGGGTTACAGACATGAGTGACTGTGCCTGGCCAGAACTGGACCTGAAACCAAGGTTTTCTTCCTCTATGAATCACACTCTTCCTCTCTATCAGGCTGTTATCTGTTTGGGAAGATCTAAAAATAGGGAGTGGCTTGGCATGCATGGGTGGGACAACACAGGTAATACAAGAGGAACCCAAAAAGCAGAAGAGTGGGGTAGAAGGAATGAGACCTGTCGAGGGAGGGGCAAGGGGGAGGGGAGATGGTAGAATCCCTGAGAAAGACAGTTCAGGATCACTGGCCACAATGGCTAATCTCTGACGCTTGTGCTGACCAGCTCACTGACCCGGTACCTGGCAGGTGAAATGGCTCATGTAGGGACTGAAGCCAGATAGGACGACCCAGGTTATAAGAGGCATTTGAGGCAACTCCCTCCATTCTCCAGGGCAAAGGCCACAGACCCAGAGTAGAGGGAAGGTAGAGCCTCTCCATGCTGATGTCACCAGTGTCTGGACGAAAGGGGAAAGGCCAATTATGACCCCCCACAAAACCCGCTGAGGCAGCAGAAACCAGGCCTCTTCTCACCCCAGAGAGAAGGACTGAGTGTTACCTAACAGGCCACCATAGCCACAGCCTATGTCTGCAAACTCCACTTGGGCCTGAGCTCTCTTTTCTTTCTCATCCTTTGGGTCATCGTGGCTCTGATTTTGAGTGAGTGGAGTGAAGAACTCTGGGTATAGCTCAGACCAGTCCATCTCCTCTGGCTTCACAGGGCTGTTGGAAAGAAGACACAGAAGCATGAGAAGGTTGGTCACACTATTGCAGAAGTGGTACTGTGAGTGTGTGGGTGGGTGAGGGTGGGTGCTAAATGGGAGGAGGGTTTCTCAAAAATTCTGTAACCCTGGGCCCTGTGGCCTCTAACAGGGACAATGGAAACCACCCTTAACCCCCGGTGTGAATCATAGGCCCATCATGAGACCCGTAATCGCTGACCGGCCCAACTCCACTTCTGGAGGGGTTGATGTGACCCTGGCCGCGAAGCTGCCCTTTCTGTGGCACAAGTTCCCCTTCTTGTTAGACTGCCTGCCTAACGCACTGCGATCCTACTTTGTGTTTGTTTTCTGCGGGGAGGGTAAGTTAGGGTGTGGGCAGGATTGTGTATATGTTTGCCTTTTTATTAAATCCAACAAACAAAAGCAAAAGATGGAAACCACATTGCGCCTCTATCACTTCAGTCTCAGTAACAATTTATTTTATTTCTCTTCCCAAACTTGGCAGCGCTACCGACTTAGGCCCGAAAGCCACGCCCACTCCCAACCCGCCAACTCCTCACTCGGTCGAATCTCCCGGTCCCACCCCCAAAACTGACGTCACTCATCTCATAACCCCGGGTCTATCCCAAATCCTCCCAGCAGTCTCAGCACAACTGCTCTCCCGGCTGCCTTTGAGAATCCCGCCCTCCTCCCTCCCTCTGCCTGTTCCTCACTAGCGCAGCGTGTGGTCCGCCATGGGGTTGGAGTGAGCACGTTGCCGGTAGTAGCGCTTCTGGGGCGGCGGGGCCTCTGCTCCGGCAGCGTTCCAAGTCTCTGCTGCCATGATCCCAGTCCCGGGTTTCTCTACCAAACCCACGTGGAGGCGCAGGCCGGGGGCGCAGGTTAATGACGCAGACAAGCGCGTTGGGGGCAGATCCCGCCCCTTAAAGACCCAGGAGCAAATTCGGCTGGCTAGGTTGAGCTGGGTGGGGAGGGCGGAGCGAATGCTGGAGGGAACCTCTGCACCGTTAGCCTTTGGTTGGGAGAGTTTGGAAACTGTTGGAATCCAACAGTTTCCCTTAGCTTGCTTCTGCCTGGGTTACCATCCTGGTTGCAGGCACCTGTGCACCCCACAGGTGAGAGGGGTCTAGAGACCCGGCCTCCTACAGTAGCATCAGTCCTCGCTCCTCTCCCCTCACTCCTGGTCTCTGACCAGTGCGTCCAGTCTGACTCGGGTGTGGTCCCGCCTGGGTTTCGTCGGGTGTGCGCTCCTGGCGGGGGCGAGAGGGGCAGCTCCTCATTCCACCTCCAGGAAGTTGAACTGGAGGAGGGAGGGCAAACTCAGGGAGGCGGGGCTCGGCTCACGCCACGGGGACAGCACGACGGCCCGCGGCCCCCCGCCTCTACCCCGCTCCGGATCCGGGATGTGAGCGCCGGCCGAGGTGCCCGGGCACTCCCTCGGCGGGCCGGATGGCGGACCCCGGCCCAGATCCCGAATCTGAGTTGGAATCGGTGTTCCCGCGGGATGTCGGACTCTTCGCGGACTCTTACTCGGAGAAGAGCCGGTTCTGCTTCTGTGGGCATGTGCTGAACATCACACAGAACTTTGGGTCCTGCCTCGGGGTGGCGGCGCGCGTGTGGGACGCGGTGAGGAGTGGGCTGTTCCGGGTTAGGGTCTGTGGGAGGTCTAGACCCCGGACTCCGCCTCTCCCATGGGGAGCCATCCTCCCGACTGTCTTTTTCTCTCTTATCTCCCGTAGGCCTTGAGCCTGTGCAATTATTTCGAGAGTCAAAATGTGGATTTCCGAGGCAAGAAGGTGATTGAACTGGGTGCGGGGACAGGCATCGTGGGGATCTTGGCAGCGCTGCAGGGTGCGTAACCTGGCTTTGAGGCAGGAGAGAGTGGGGACCCAGGGGCGGGGAGAAACAGGCACTTCGTGGATCTTTGGGGACGGGGACT